GTGGTTTTGGTCAGGTAGTTTTTTGATTACCAGTTCAATTTTGCTGCTGGTAATTGGTCTGTTCAGATTTTCTGTTTCTTCCTGGGTCAGCCTTGGAAGTTTGTAGTTTTCTAGAAAGTTGTCCATTTCTTCTAGGTTATCCAGTTTGTTAGCATATAATTTTTCATAGTATACTCTCATAATTCTTTGTATTTCTGTGGTGTCCATAGTGATTTAGTGATTTTTACTTTCCCATTTCTGATTCTGTTTATGGGTGAAGACTCTCTTTCATTCTTGATAAGTCTGCCTAAGGGTTTATGTATTTTGTTTATTTTCTCAAAAAACCAGCTCCTGCTTTCTTTAATTCTTTCTATTGTTTTAGTCCTCTCAATTTTATTTATTATGCTCTGACCTTTATGATCTCCCTCCTACTGACTTTGTGCCTCATTTCTTCTTCTTTTTGTAGTTTTGTATACTGTGTGTTTAGGCTGTTCATTTGGGATTGTTCTTCTTTCCTGAGGTATGCCTGTATTGCAATATATTTCCCTCTTAGTGCAGCCTTTGCTGCATCTCACAGATTTTTGCGGTGTTGAACTATCTATTGTTGTCATTTGTCTCCATATATTGCTTGACCTCTGTTTTTATTTGGTCATTGATTATTTAGAGGCATGTTATTAAGCCTCCATGTATTTGTGGGGTTTTTCATTTTCTTTGTATAATTTATTTCTGGTTTAATACCTTTGTGATCTGAGATGCTGGTTGGTACAATTTCAGTCTTTTTGGATTTACTGAGGTGCTTTTTGTGCCCTAGTACATTATTTTGAAATGTTCCATGTGCTTTTTAAAAGAATATGTATCCTGTTGCTTTTGGATGGAGATGTCTGTTAGGTCCATTGGTTCTAGTATGTTGTTCAGTTCCTCTATCTCCTCACTAACTTTCTGACTGGTTGATCTGTACTTTGGAGTGAGTGGTATTTTGAAGTCTCCTAAAATGAATGCATTGCATTTATTTCCCCTTTTAATTCTGTTAGTATTTGTTTCACATACATAGCTGATCCTTTGTTGGGTGCATAGATATAATAGTTATACCCTCTTGTTGGATTGATTCCTTCATCTTTATGTATTGTACTTCTTTGTCTCTTGTGACTTTCTGTATTTTGAAGTCTATTTTGTCTGATACAAGCACTCCAACTGCTGCTTTTTTCTCCCTATTAGTTGCATGAAGTATCTTTTTCCATCTCTTTACTTTCAGTCTGTGTATGTCTTCAGATTTGAAGTGAGTCTCTTGTTGGTCACATATAGATGGGTCTTGTTTTTTTATCCATTCAGTGACTCTATGTCCTTTATTTGTGCATTCAGACCATTTTCATTTAGGGTGATTATCAATAGACATGTACTTATTGCCATTGCAGGCTTTTGATTCATGGTTACCAAGGGTTCAAGGGTAATTCCCTTACTAGCTAACAGTCTTAAATTACTCATTTATTATGCTATTACAAACACAACTTAAAGGTTCTTTATTTTTTCCTCCTCCATTTTTTGTATATTAGGTATCATATTCTGTACTCTGTCTTTCCCTTGATGGACTTTTGGGGTAGTTGATTCAATTTTGCATCTGCTTAGTAATTGTTTTACTTTGCTGTGGTTTTATTTCCCCTTGTGGTAGCTATTAGCCTTAGGAATATTTCCATCTGTGGTAGTCCCTCCAAAATGCACTGTAGAGGTGGTTTGTGGGAGGTAAATGCTCTCAGCTTTGCTTATCTGAAAATTGTTTAATCCTTCTTTCAAATTTAAGTGATAACCTTGCCAGGTAGAGTATTCTTGGTTCGAGGCCTTTGTTTTTCATTGCATTAGATATATCATGCCACTCCCTTCTGGCCTGTAAGGTTTCTGTTGAGAAATCTGATAATAGCCTGATGGGTTTTCCCTTGTCTGTGATGTTTTTTCTCTGTCTAGCTGCTTTTAAAAGTCTGTCTTTATCCTTGATCTTTGCCACTTTAATTATTATATGTCTTGATGTTGTCTTCCCTGGGTCCCTTGTGTTGGGAGATCTGTGTACCTCCATGGCTTGAGAGACTATCTCCTTCCCCAGATTGAGGAAATTTTCAGCAATAACCTTTTCAAAAACACTTTCTGTCCCTTTTTATTTCTCTTATTATTCTTGTATCCCTGTAATGCGAATATTGTTCCGTTTGGATTGGTCACACAGTTCTCTCAATATTCTTTCATTCCTAGAGATCCTTTCTTCTCTCTGTGCCTCAGCTTCTTTGTATTCCTCTTCTCTAATTTCTATTCCATTTACCATCTCTTCTATTACATCTAATCTGCTTCTAAATCCTTCCATTGTATGTTTCATTTCAGATATGGAATTACTTAATGATTGAATGTCTGTCCGAAATTCGTCCCTGAGTTCTTGAATATTTTTCTGTACCTCCATGAAGCATGTTTATGATTTTTATTTTGAACTCTCTTTCAGGAAGATTGGTGAGTTCAGTTTCATTTGGCCCTTTTTCTGGTATTTGCAAGATTTTTTTGTTTGAACCAGTGTCCTTTGACATTTCATATTTCTATGTGGTGCCCTCTAGTGCCCAGAAGGTCTAGTCTCTGGAGCTGCTCAGCCCCTGTTGTGATGTTGGGGGTTACAGGGGAGCAGTGCTGGTGCCTGGGGGGAGGAAAGAGCTGTTCCTGCTTCCCAGCTGCTATACCTGTCTCCACTATCCGAACCAGTGAGCCAGCACACAGGTGTAAGCCTCTGCTTTGTGTCTATAGCTCCTGTTTGCAGGGCCTCCCTCTGGCTGGCATGATGCCAGGGCAGGTACTGCTGGTTTGCGAGTTGGTGCCGGCAAGCCAGGAGGAAGGTACAGCGTGCTGCATATCACAATCAGGGGCCTCGGAGCTGAGAAGCCAGCCAGGGAGATGTAACACCTGAAGCTCCTGAAAGTTCCCAACCTGCTTGGCAGAGCCCACCCAGACAACCTTGTCCACCTCTCCGCACAGCAAGCTCCATGCAAACCCTGCCCCTTCAGCAGCCCTCACACTGCTAGGAAGCCTCTTAGACCGCCTGCCTTTCCTTTGTCCCAGAGCAGCCGGATTTGGGTCCCTGTCCTTCACCAACAGCTGGAATCTCAGTCTCTCCAAGTATTCCACCTGTCTTAGCTTTCCAACCCCACTACTCTCCAGAGCACTGTACAATGCAGTTTTTTGCTCCCATAGCAGATTTCCAGAGCTGGGTGTTCAGCAGTCCTAAGCTTTCTCCCCCTCCCTGCTCCATTTCTCTTCCTCCTGCTGGTTAGCTGGGGCTGGGGAAGGGCTTGTGTCCCACCTTATCAAGGCTTTGATACATTAGTTACCCTGTTTTGTGATGTCTTCTCTGTTCTCCAGGTGTATGCAGTCTGATGCAGCCTTCTTTCCTGTTGCTCCTTTAAGATTAGTTGTATTAACTATATTTTCATATTATATGTGGTTGTGGGAGGAGTTCTCTGTCTCACCTCTCACACCACCATCTCGAATCACTCTCCTGCCATATCTGTTCATTTTTTAAACCAATTTTTCTCTGTGTCTACATTTAGGAAATGTCTACTATAATTTTTTGAAATTCTTTTTTGTTCATAAACATTAAGGTTACTACCTATTCAGAACATAGAGTATTACTTCTGGAAAAGCAACAGTGTTAACTTTTTAATTCTTGTAGCTAAAAAGGTATACTGATTAGTAATGCAGATGTCTTTTCCTTCAGACAAGTAGTATGATTGGGAAGTAGCTTGTACAAGGTAGGAAGAAAAGTATGTTTTTTTTAAATTAGTCACTTCTTAGCACATATCTTTAATGAATTCATGCTATCAGAAAAAGTAGGGCTGCATCCTTCCAGGTGGATTTTCTAACATTGCTTCCTATTTGTTTACTCCTAAAGAGTAAGGCTGGGAAATAACTAGGCCCTTAAATGATAGAAACTGCATGTAACAACCTCTTCTAGTTGGTGATACATGTTAGAATTTGTTTTATAAAGTGCTAAAAGAAACGTTCCATTAAATTTTGAACTCTGCTTACTTTAAGTCTCAGAGTCTGAAGGTAACATTGATATCAGGTGAGTACAACACTTTAGGGATATAGAGTTGATTATTTCAGTTTATTTTGTTACTCAAATTTTGTTTGGAAAATCATAATGTAGCCTCTTGTTTAAAATTTCTACTTTTCAGAAGAGATGAAAATTACATTAGTGTTTTTATTCAGTACTTACTATGATGGTGTTTATATACCTAAGAATATACATTTCTAAGTGTTTTTAAATGAAAATATAGAATTTCTAGAATTAAATTTGGAAAGTTAAAAAATATATATTGGAGTAGGAAAATCCCCCCAAATGCAAATAAAACTGAAGAATTATAAAAGAAAATAATAAACTACATGAAAATAAGTGATTTGTGTATGGCAAAAAAAAAACACAGCATAAACTACATAAAAAATACATGAGAAGCTGGAAAAAGTATTTTCAATCGATACAACTGTCAGCTAATTTCTTATTAATTTCCAGTACATTCCTTATAGCATTATTTGTAATTTAAAATTTCTGGAAACACTAAATGACCCTCAATAGTAGATAGGTTAAATAAATTGGTACATCTGCAAAGTGGAAAACTATGCAACTGTTCAGAAGAATGAAGCAGATATATATGTATATAAACAGAGCTCCTTGGACAGTCTTGACACATAGTAGGCATCCAATATATGTTTGCTGATGAATGAATGAGTTTTTAAATGAACAAAAGGAATATTTAAAATACTCTGTGTAGAGTGGTATCATTTGTGTAACGAAAGTATCCATATGTGCAAGTATGCATTGAAACACAAGGAGTACATACAAAAGTTTGGCAGGTCAGAGAAGACTTAGGTGAATGAGAGATGGGAAGGTAGTAGGCAAAAATAGAAGCATAGAAAATGCCTTTAATACCTTCTGAATTTTATAATGTCCATTTTAAACTTTTTGAGTAATTAATAATTAACATAAAATACTGTATTTATAGGGATGAAAGTGAGCCTGCCCAAATAGAAGATTCAAATGCTGTTAAACCTGATGGCTGGCTAGATGATGACCCAAAATTTATTCCAGATCCTAATGCTAAAAAACCTGATGACTGGTAAGCATTCTTCATCTTCAATTATCAATTTCAAAGGTTTCTTGTTTCTTGTTACTAGTTTATATGACTGACAGGGTGAAGTTTCTATATTTGCTTTGTTCTGATTTCCTAAGGAATGAAGACATGGATGGAGAGTGGGAGGCACCTCGTATTTCTAATCCAGCATGTCAGATTGGGTGTGGTGAGTGGAGACCTCCCATGATAGATAATCCAAAATACAAAGGAGTCTGGAGACCTCCCCTAATAGATAATCCTAACTACCAGGTAACACCCACTTGTTCCAATCCCATAGTAAAATTAAAACTGATATTTCTGTTATATATCCAGTAATTGATAGTTACATCAGCTTTCAGAAATTTTATTTGTAATAGTGTTTCTTAGCTATCTCAAGAAGTCAAAGAAAATTAATTTGTTTAAATTATATTTATTTAATTTTCTAAGAGAATGAAATGAAGAACTAAAGACCAGTGAGTTCACACTGTATTTTTCCCTACTAATCAGTTGATGATCACTTTGGAATCAAGTTCTATTTTATTTTATTTTTTTATTAAGATATCATTGATATACAATCCTATGCTCAGGTTTCACATGAGCAACATTGTGGTTACTACCTTCACGCATATTATTAAGTGCCCCTGACACAGCCCATTGCAGTCACTGTCCATCACCGTAGTAAGATGCTATAGAGTCACTACTTGTCTTCTCTGTGCTGTACTTCCATCCCCATGCCCCCCCATATTATCTGTGCTAATCAGAATACCCCTTATCCACTTATCCCTCCCTTCCCACAAAACCTCCGCAACACCTTTCCCTTTGGTAACCACTACTCCCTTCTTGGAGTCTGTGAGTCTGCTTCTATTTTGTTCCTTCAGTTTTGCTTCATTGTTATACTCCACAAATGAGGGAAATCATTTAGTATTTGTCTTTCTCTGCCAGACTTATTTCACTGAGCATAAGACCTGCTAGCTCCATCCATGTTGTCGCAAATGGTAGGATTTGTTTCTTATGGCTGAATAGTATTCCATTGTGTATATGTACCACCTCTTCTTTATCTGTTCATTTACTTATGGACACTTAGGTTGCTTCCATGTCTGGGGTATTGTAAATAGTGCAGCGGTAAACATAAGGGTGCATATGTCTTTTTTGAATCTGGGATCTTGTTTTCTTCAGGTAAATTCCTAGGAGTGGAATTCTTGGGTCAACTGGGATTTCTATTTTTAGTTTGAGGAACTTCCATATTGCTTTCCACAATGGTTGAACTAATTTACATTCCCACCAGCAGTGCAGGAGGGTCCCCCTCTCTTCACATCCTCACCAACTGTTGTTTCTCTTTTGGATATTGGCCATAACTGATGTGAGGTGATATCTCATTGTGGTTTTATTGTGTATTTCCCTGATGATTAGCAATGTGGAGCATCTTTCCATGTGCCTGTTGGCCATCTGAATTTCTTCTTTGGAGAAGTGTCTGTTCAGATCCATTTTTTAATCAGGTTATCTGCTTTTTGGGTGTTGAGGCATGTGAGCTCTTTATATATTTTGGATGTTAACCCCTTACTGGGTATGTCATTTATGAATATATTATCCCATATTGTAGGATGCCTTTTTGTTTTACTGATGGTGACTTGGCTGTACAGAAGCTTTTTAGTTTCATGTAGTCCCACTTGTTCATTTTTGCTTTTGTTTGCCTTGCCTGAGGAGATGTATTCAGGAAAAAAGTTGCTCATGTTTTTATTCAAGATATTTTTGCCTATTTTTTTTCTTCTAAGAGTTTTATGGTTTGATGACTTACAGTCAGGTCTTTGATCCATTTCAAGTTTACTTTTGTGTATGGAGTTAGACAGTAATCTAGTTTCATTCTCTTACATGTAGCTGTCCAGTTTTGCCAACACCAGTTGTTGAAAAGGCTGTCATTTCTCCATTGCATGTCCATGGCTCTTTTAATCATATATTAATTGGCCATATATGTATGGGTTTATATCTGGGTTCCATATTCCATTCCATTGATCTTTGGCTCTGTTCTTATGCCAGTACCAAACTGTCTTGATTACTGTGGCTTTGTAGTAGAGCTTGAAGCTGGGGAGCATAATCCCCCCTGCCCCTGCTTTATTTTCCCTTCTATGGATTGCTTTGGCTATTTGGGATCTTTTGTGGTTCCATATGAATTTTAGAACTATTTGTTCTAGTTCATTGAAGAATGCTCTTGGTATTTTGATAGGGATTACATTAAATCTTAGTTGCTTTAGGTAGGATGGCAATTTTGACAATATTAAATCTTCCTATCCATGAGCCCAGGATGTATTTCCATTTATTGGTGTCTTTGATTTCTCTCAAGAGTGTCTTCTGGTTTTCAGGATATAAGTCTTTCACTTCTTTGATTAGGTTTATTCCTAGGTATTTTATTCTTTTTGATGCAGTTGTGAATAGAATTGTTTTCCTGATTTCTCCTTCTGCTAGTTCTTCATAGTATATAGGAATGCAACAGATATCTGTGTATTAATTTTGTATCTTGCGACTTTGCTGAATTCAGATATTCTAGTAGTTTTAGAGTGCATTTCTTAGGGGTCTTTTTTTGTACAATAATCATGTCATCTTCAAACAATGACAGTTTAACTTCTTCTTTGCCAATCTGGACACCTTTTCTTTGTGTTGTCTGATTGCCGTGGCTAGGACCTCCAGTACTATGTTGAATAACAGTGGGGAGTATGGGCATCCTTGTCTTGTTCTCTATCTTAGAGGAAAAGCTTTTAGCTTTTTACTGTTAAGTATAATGTTGGCTGTGGGTTTGTTGTATTTGGCCTTTATTATATTGGTATACTCACCTTCTATACCTATTTTGTTGAGAGTTTTTATCATGAATGGATGTTGCATTTTGTCGAATGCCTTTTCAGAATCTGTGGAGATGATCATGTGATTTTGCTCTTTTTGTTGATGAGGTGAATGAGTTGATGGATTTTCAAATACTGTACCATCCTTACATCCCTGGAATGAATCCCACTTGATCATGATGTATGATCTTTCTCATGTATTTTTTAATTCGGTTTGCTAATATTCTGTTAAGTATTTTTGCATCTATGTTCATTATGGATATTGGTCTGTAATTTTCTTTTTTTGTGTTGTCTTTGCCTGGTTTTGGTATTACAGTGATGTTGGCCTCATAGAATGAGTTTGGAAGTATTCCCTCCTCTTCTACTTTTTGGAAAACTCTAAGGAGAATGGGTACTAGGTCTTCATTAAATGTCTGATAAAGTTCATCAGTGAAGCCCTCTGGTACAGGTATTTTGTTCTTAGGTAGTTTTTTGATTAACAGTTCAATTTTGTTGTGGGTAAGTAGTCTATTCAGTTTTTCTGTTTCTTCCTGGGTCAGTCTTTGAAGGTTACTTTTCTAGAAAGTTGTCCATTTGTTCTAAGTTATCCAATTTGTTAGCACATACTTTTTCATAGTATTCTCTAATAATTCTTTGTATTTCAGTGGTGTCTTTAGTGATTTTTCCTCTCTCATGTCTGATTCTGTTTATGTGTGTAGACTGTCTTTTTTCTTGATAAGTCTGGCTAAGGTTTGATATATTTTGTGTATTTTCTCAAAGAACCATCTCTTGGTTTCATTAAGTTTTTCTATTGTTTTATTTTTCTCAATGTTATTAATTTCTTTTCTGATCTTTATTATGTCCCTCCTTCTGCTGGCTTTGGGCTCCAGTTGTTCTTTTTCTAGTTTCATTAATTTTGAATTTAGACTTTTTATTTGGGATTGTTCTTTCTTCTTTAAATAGACCTGAATTGCTATACACTTTCCTCTTAGACTTGCCTTCACTGTGTCCCACAGAAATTGGGGCTTTGAGCTGTTTACGTTTGTCTCCATATATTGCTTGATCTCTGTTTTTATTTGGTCATTGATGCATTGATGATTTAGGAGCATGTTGTTAAGCCTCATTGTGTTTTTGGGCTGTTTTGTTTTCTTTGTACAATTTATTTCTAGTTTCATACCTTTGTGATCTGAAAGGTTGGTTGGTACAATTTCAGTGTTTTTGAATTTACTGAGGCTCTTTCTGTTGCCTACTATGTGATCTATTCCAGAAAATGTTCTATGTGCAATCGAGAAGAATGTGAATCCTCTTGCGTTTTGGTGGAGTGTTCTGTAGATATCTGTTATGTCCATTTGTTCTAATGTGTTGTTCAGTGCCTCTGTGTCCTTACTTATTTTCTGTCTGGTTTATATGTCCTTTGGAGTAAGTGGTGTGTTGAAGTCTCCTAAAATGAGTGCATCGCATTCTATTTCTCCCTTTAATTCTGTTAGTATTTGTTGCACATATGTGGGTGGTCCAATGTTGGGTGCATACATACTTACAATGGTTATATCCTCTTCTTGGACTGACCCCTTTTTCATTATATAATGCCCTTCTATGTCTCTTGTTAGTTTCTTTGTTTTGAAGCCTATTTCATCTGATACAAGTATTGCAACTCCTGCTTTTTTCTCCCTGTTTGCATGAAGTATCTTTTTCTCTCCTTTCACTTTTAGTCTGTGTATGTCTTTGGTTTAAAGTGAGTCTCTTGTAGGCAGTATATAAATGGGTCCTGCTTTTTTATCCATTCTGAAACTCTATGTCTTTTGATTGGTTCATTCAGACCATTTACATTTAAGGTGATTATCAATAGATGTGTACTACTTACTGCTATTTCAGGCTTTGGATTCATGGTTATCAAGGTTCAAGGGCAGCTTCTTTACTATCTGACAGTCTAACTTAACTCACTTATTATGCTATTATAAACACAATCTGAAGATTCTTTTTTTTTCTCCTTTTTCTTCCTCCTCTACTCTTTATATGTTAATGTCATATTCTGTACTCTTTGTGTATCCCTTGACTGACATTGTGGTTAACTGATTTAATTTTGCATCTGTTCAGTAATTATTTGATCTGCTTCCTTTACCGTGTTTTTATTTTCTCTGGTGACAACTGTTTAGTTTTAGGTATACTTCCATCTAGAGAAGTCCCTTTAAAATACACTGTAGCGATTGTTTGTTGGAGGTAAATTCCCTCAACTTTTGCTTATCTGGAAATTGTTTAATCCCTCCTTCAAATTTAAATGATAATCTTTCTGGATAGATTATTCTTGGTTCGAGGCTCTTCTGTTTCATTGCATTGAATATATCATGCCATTCCCTTTTGGCCTGTAAGGTTACTGCTGAGAAGTCTGATGATAGCCTGATGGATTTTCCTTAGTAGAAGATAATTTTTTCACTCTCTGGCTGCTTTTAATACTCTGTCCTTGTCCTTGATCTTTGCGTTTTTAATTATTATATGTCTTGGTGTTGTCTTCCTTGAGTCCCTTGTGTTGGGAGATCTGTGCACTTCCATGGCCAGAGAGACTATTTCCTTCCCAGTTTGGGGGAGTTTTCAGCTATTATTTCTTCAAAGATACTTTCTATCCCTTTCTCTTCTCCTCCTCCTATAATGTGAATATTGTTCCATTTGTATTGGTCACACAGTTATCTTAATATTTTTTCATTCCTAGAGATCCTTTTTTCTCTCTCTGCCTCAGATTCTTTATATTCCTGTTCTCTAATTTATATTCCATTTACTGTCTCCTCTGCCTCATCTAATGTGCTTTTAAATCCCTCCATTGTATATTTAATTTCAGTTACTGTATTTTTAAGGTGTCTTCAACTTCCTGAATTAGTCCCTTAGCTCTTGAATATTTTTCTGTAGCTTCATTAGCATGCTTATGACTTTTATTTTGAATTATTTTTGAGGAAGATTGTTGATTTCAGTTTCTCTGAGCCCTCTTTCTGGTGTTTGAGGGATTTTTGATTGAACGAGCTTTTTCTGTCTTTTCACAATCCTATTGGATAATGAAAAATATTAGGCTTGTTTAGGCGGCACCATCTAGTGCCCAGAAGCTCTGCTCTTCAGAGCTGCCCAGCACCTGGAGTGATGGCAGTGGTCACAGGCGACTGGTACTGGTGCCTACTCTAAGGAGAGAACTCTGTCCTTTTTCCCAGCCACAGAGCCAGCCTCTGCTGTCAGGGCCAGTGAGCAGGGAGCAGCCTCTGCATTAAGCCACTGAGGCTGCTGTAGGCTGGGCTGATGACAGGGGCTGCAGGTTTGTGTGCAGGTACTGGAGGGGAGGAGTGAGCAGCAGGCTGTTTAGCACAGTGGGGGTTCTCAGGCATGCATTGCCAGTCAGGGGGTTGGAGGGCTTGAAGCTCCTGAACATTCCTAACCTGCTGGGCTGAGTGTGCCGGGACAATTTTTTCCACCTGATCAGGAAGCTCTGTATAATCCTTGCCCCTTTAGCAGCCCTTTTACTGTTGGGAAGTTTTTCAAAAGTGTCTGCCTTTTTTCCCAGAGCAGCCTGTTGTGGGAACCTTTCTCCACAAATAGCTGGAATCTGTCTCTGACTTTTGCTTTTCAACCCCTCTGATCTCCAGAGCACCATGCAATGTGGGTTTGTGCTCCCAGAGTAGATTTCTAGGGATGGGTATTTAGCACTCCTGGGCTTCTACTCCCTCCCCACTCTGTTTCTCTTCCTCCTGCCAGTGATCTGGTGTGGGGGGAGTGCTTGGGTCCTGCCAGTCGCAGCTTTGTTACTTTACCCTTTTCCCTGATGTAGATTTTCTGTTTTCTTTTCCCAGATGTAGACTGGCTGGTACAATCTTATTTCTGATCACTCTTTTAGGAATGCTTGTATTTGCTGTATTTTCATATTATATGTGGTTTTGGGAGAAGATTTCTGCCTCATTTCTCTTGCGGCCATCTTTTTTCTGCCTCAATTTCTATTTTAGAATTAAATATAAGAAATGAGTTCTGAAAAGGACAACTCAGACTATATACATTTTGGTAATTATTGTCTGTGCTTAATTAATGTGCTTCTTTGTGGTGTTATTAAAATTCAGGTTTTTTTCCCTAATACGGATCAGACATCTTCTGAGTGTAATAAGCTTTTTGGGTAAAAGTCCCTATATTATCTGTAGTTCTATCTAATTATTCATTAGCATTTTCTAATATGTATTATATATATGCAGTTGCATATTCTAATTGCTCATTGTAGTTTTTCTTAATAGCATTTATTACAAAATGTTTATTATTGTTTAATGTCTGTCTCATTCATTAGTCTTTAAACTCCGTAATACAGGAACCATGTCTGTCTTAATCATCACTGTACCAATGGCCTAGTGCCTGGCACAGAATAGATACATATGATGGTGGAGTGAGTCAGTGAGTGATCATATTATCATATTTATTTGATATGGTTGAGTTTAATCATATAAGATCTAATGAAACTTTTATGTTAAATAACTGTTCTGAGGTTCAGAATTATTCAATGGTTGATTACTGAAGCCTCTCATGAGTATATGTTAAAAAAGAGTGGCTCCATTTCTGCCATAGAGTGATCTCTCTGATGTGGGCAATTTTAATGACATCTTGCCTTGAATAATTTTAGTAAGTGTAAAAAAACTTGTCTAAAGTAGTATCACTTCCTTATGACATATAATTACTCATTTCTGTGTATGTTGGATTTTTACTTTGCCTTTTTTGGCAGTTTAAAGTCTCTATTGTTCATAGGGATCATCATGTATTTAATAAGAAAAAACACTGTTTTATTTCCAGTGAATTACTAGTAAATTAATATCAGCTTAAAGTTTCCATTTTTTCTCATTATTATTGCTCATTTTATTCAATAGCACCTACTACTTGAGTAGCTTTTATAATGAAATTATTTTATTTGAAAATATCTTAAAATTATTCTTCTTCCAGGGAATCTGGAGTCCTCGAAAAATTCCTAATCCAGATTATTTTGAAGATGATCATCCATTTCTTCTGACTTCTTTCCATGCTCTTGGATTAGAACTTTGGTCTATGACCTCTGATATCTACTTTGATAATTTCATTATCTGTTCAGAAAAGGAAGTAGCAGATCACTGGGCTGCAGATGGTTGGGGAGTAAAAATAATGATAGCAAATGCTAATGAGGTACAGTATTTATCATATAGTACTAGTGGGACTTGGTCCTGGTTATAAGTTACAGAAAAGGTAAATGTGCAATAACTGCTAAATGCAAAAGAAATGTACTTAAATTCATTTATGTAGGCAAAATATTTAGTTTTACTATATTATGATGCAACTTCATGATAAACTATGTAAGAAATCTGCATTCCATTAATTAAATTATGATGGCATAATGGGGTTTAATACGTATTTGCTGTTTATAGAAATGAGACTACTTAATGTCTTTATTACCTTTTCAATTCAAATTCCATGTGGTAATGGTAATCTAAATATTATTCTTTATTTTAACTACTTTTCACTAAGAGGAGTGTAGAGAATTTAAAATTTAATATTGTTTCCAGCTTTCCCCCCCACAAAATCTTAACACTATTTAGAAAAGAGTAAGCTAAATCTTTTAATAAGAGAAACAATTTCCTTACTGAAGGTTGTACATGAAATTTAGTATTAAAAAAATAATTCTTAGGTTTATTTTTTATTAATAAGTCCTTGAAAAGTACAGAAAAGTTGTATACTTCTAAATGAACCAGAAAAATATATCCATAAAGAGTACTTCTCCTGAAATATTCCAACAAAATAAAATTGTCATAATTATCGCTGATAGGTTAGCAATTTCCACCTATGCATGAAGCAACATATCTTCTACAAAGTCTTAAACAGAGATGGATGCTAATAAATTAGAGTTTAAACTTCACAAAGTATAAGATAGGGAAATGAAACATTTTTTACAAGTTCACTTCCTAATATAAAGCACGTGGGTGAAAATACGTTTTTGGTAGTCTGTATTTCCTAACGCAGGTTTGTAAAATCTCAATTCATTTTTATACTTATTTCTTCTATAGCCTGGTATACTTAAACAACTAATGGCAGCTGCCGAAGAGCACCCGTGGCTTTGGCTCATTTATCTTGTAATAGCAGGGCTTCCAATAGCAGTAATTACTGCATTTTATTGGCCAAGAAAAGTAAAGGTAAATAAAATGAATTTCTTTCACCTTGAAACCTCTTAGTGTTTTGGACTTCTACAAACTGAGCAAGTGGTTCTTAAAAGTAATAAATTAAATTTCCTGCAAATGTTTACTGATAGTGCACTGTGTGAGACATGTTACTGCAGAGAACTTTTTTAAAAATAGTGCTTTGGTTTTAGTAAAAATACTTTATGTTAAACTACCACAGAAAAAATATGAAGATACAGAATATAAAAAAACTGACATATGTAAACCACAAACAAAGGGAGCACTGGAGCAAGAAGTAAAGGAGGAAACACTAGCCCTGGAGAAGCCAATAGACTTGGAAGACGACAAAAGGCAAAGTGATGGTGAAATTCTTGAAAAGGGTAAGACGATGATAGTGACTTATAATGGGGACCCTGGGCAAAACTCGTAAAAAGACTACATCATCTGGTAAACACTCGCTGTTGCCCTTGCTTGTTGTCAAAGTGATACCATCTGAATCCCCAAGAATGCATGATTACAGCAAAGAGAAGTAGCTGTCCCTGCTGGTATATTTGTACCCTGAGCAGCCATCCTATTTATAGAGTTTTTGTCTTCTAGGAAGAAAGAATACTACTATTCAGTCACTTTAAAGCCTAGCAGCTATAAGTCACTTATGCTATAGGTTTTTGCAAGGACTTTTCTTGCTTCTAAAAATGTAGATGAGGTGGGAGGTATAGACCATGGTCTCTACGGAAGAGTAATAGGTGTAAGGCAGGTGAGGCAGGAACAAAATCAACACTGTCTTCCAGTGGCTTTTATCAGGTAGTTTATCATAATGAATAATCTCCTGAAAATACTGCTCAATCATGTGTTCCCTTCCCACCCTGTACTGTACTCCTTCAGATGCTGTAACTGAAGAACTGAGACTTGTTGGTGGCTGTCCACCCAAGACTTCCTTATGCACTTCTAGGTAGAAATAAAACTATTGATATTTGCCAGGTGTCCCAAGCCAGGTTCCAGACTGAGCCATTTTTTTAAAAACTTATGTCTTGAGCACTATTTTAACTTAATAGCTGATGAAACAGTTAACTTAAAAACCATATTCTCAAAACACACTCATACACATATATGTATATTTACATGTGTAGGTATGTACATTAAATACACATATGTTATTTGGTTTTCATATTACATACATACTGAATGCTTACAAATTCTTTAAACCTAAACAGTTCCTCTAATGTGATTTATTAAATGTGGTTAGAAGGAGCATTTTCAATTTTTAAAAAATTTCTAATGGAAGAAATTGCTTCAAAATATTGGGATTTAAATAAACCCTCTTGTATTTAATAGTATCCAGTAGCACTATTCTGAGGCATCAAGTCTTTGCCTTTAATAACATCTGTATTCTAGAAGAGGAAGGTGAATCTGAGAAGAGTGAAGAAGAAATAGATATCCTAGAAGGACAAGAAGAAGGTAATAAATCAAATAAGTCTGGATCAGAGGATGAGGTAAGCAACTCTTTAAAGGAAAATGAACTAGTTTCTATGTGTGATTTTTATCCATAAAAAATTATTTCAATAAAAGCAGCAATCTGGTCTGTGAGGAATTTTTTGCCATATTTCTCCAAGCTTTTATAAGAGCCTCCAATTGTTTTGAAAATGTATCCATAAAGGAGGCAAGAAAATACTGTACTTTATATTATCTCAATGCCTAAGAAAACAGCATAAAGTAAGCTTGTGGTTTACAAAATACAGGGAGCCACATCTATAAAAAATTATGACTTCATCATTAAAATATGTTGTTGAAAGTTATAATAAATAGGCCCATTTGAATATTTAAAAAGTAATTCTGTTAACTACAAGACAGTTTTCTCTAGAGCCATTTATGAAAACATTGTCTCCATAATTTACTCTCACATTTTAAAATGTTTCAGTAATTAAGGAGTTGAGTACTATCTGCCTGATAAGGTATTCTTCTAAAAGTTTTAATAAACTTGTTTTCCCGTGAACTTGATATGTGTCTACTCCTTTTTTTGCATCCTGACAGTGCCTCCATTTTCAGTCCGTTATTATGTAATCAGAAGCCATCCAGGATATACTTGTTTTTTTGGCCAGCAGCCCCAAAAGCATGTTGTTTCTCCAGCCATTTAAGAGCTGCACAGTCTCAGGCCGCAGAGTTCCCATCCTCACACTCTCATTGCACAGCATTAGGTCAGGGAAAAGTCGTTTTGCCTGGCCTGGTGCATGCAGTGAAATAAACTTTCTATTTTGTCTACATGAAGCAATCTCCCAAATAAGCTTGTTTTGTTATTGTTTGTTTTCTAAAGGTTATTCAGTACATATACCTGGCCATTGGTCTAATTTAATTACCACATGAGCTTTTTCAAGAGGTTTTGGAGACCATTATCCAGTATGATTTCCCTATTAAGAGGGGGCCAGGTGAAGATAATTTTTTCCAGTTTTTAAGTCATTGTTTCAGCTATCACTCTTATATTAATATTTGCAATTACTTATTTGAATATGTATTCTAGTTACATTTTGCTTCACAAAAATTTTGTGGACCTTTAAAAATATATCAACTCCATCTTGCAACTTTTTAGTCATCTTATATATGTTTGTCAATGAGCTAAAAAGAAGCCAATTTTTGTACAGTATAACCTTGAGAAATAATTATAACTATTTTGTATAATATAATATCTTCATTGTTTTCTTTTGCTACCCAAGTTCAATTTATATACAAATGCTTATTTTGAAAAAATAAGAAAGAAAAGAAAAACCCAAACTATAAGCCTGATATTTTCCACTCCTCTCTCCTAATTTTTCTCAAAGCACTTTATGCCAGAAGTTTTGAAAAAGTCCCGTAGAACAAGTTCAACAATTCATTACTTAAAGAAATATTATGAATATCCCACAATGCAAATATCATATAGTCTTTAATGATGACATTGGGATTGAGTTCTAAATTATAACATTGTGAATTGAGTCATTAGCAGTATTCCTTCTCGGATGCATAGTTCATAGGCAGAGTTATTCTAACCATGAAATCATGCCAAAAGATGAACAAATTAAAACACATTGATTTATTATATACACATTTTTAATCAGCTGCATAAAGGAACACATAGAACATTTTTAGATTTTTAGAACATATATTTTAGAGACTAAGAAATATATTATTTACTATTACCTACTAGTTATCTATTGAACAAAATAAACATTTTCATGATCTTTTTTCTAGATGAAAGAAGCAGATGAGAGCACAGGATCTGGAGATGGCCCAGTAAAGTCAGTACGCAAGAGAAGAGTACGAAAAGAGTAAACTATATTCAAGTATTTTTAATTCCTGAGAGATGTTTGGCATTCTAAAATCAGTGTGCCAGAAATGAACTTGAATCGATCTGCACATCCTGTTTCTACTATCTAGAAATGTTACTCTTTCTGACATTTATTTTAGTCTTTCTTTTCAGAGAAAAAAAAAACTTTGAAGTTACAAGGTCTTTCAATTTAGAATAAAAGAAAAGTGGCATGTTACATATCAGATTTAAGAAATGAATGCCATTAAAAGTTACACAGTTTTAATAGTTTGGAGAAAGTTTTGGTTTGTACAGAACAGAATAATATACAGCAACTTCGCTGCTATTAGAAAAAATCAGTTATTGGAATTTCCTCTTAAATGGCTATACTACTATTTAACTGGCAGTTCTATAATAAAAATGAGAGTGTGTTCTGTTGTACAGAGCTAAATGCAATAAAGTTACTGTATGGTTGGTTGATTCTATCAACAATTGAAAGTGTTGTGTGTGACCCATATTTACCTAGTTTCTGCCGAATTGTAGTTACAGTCCATTGTTCACTTCAATTATAGATTCCTTTAAAGAGGTCTTTGCTGACAGATAAGCAAACAAAACAGAAATGTCTGTGTCATTCATAACTAATAACTGGTTAATAGTGTACCATATTTTACATTCAAATACATAATAATAGGTTCATCAAAACAAAACGGTGTACAGAATGTTTTTCAAACTTTTATGGTGGTTTCATGCCAGAATGGCTTACCTACTCACAAGGTTGCTTATACATACATTGCTCCTGAAAATAATTACTTTTTCTCTTTAAAATTATATCCTCTTTAGTAAATTATCATGGGAGGCTTTTAATTATTTTCGACCTTATCATTGAGATTCTAATGGCTAATCGGTATCAGTCATCATGTTTTGTATCTGTATTTTTACAAATTCAAATCTAAGTTTTTTACCTCATCTAGCTTCAAAGCTGCCTCTAAGATAAATAACAGCAACTATTGCTCCTCTTCTTAAAGTTGTTAACCAAAATCACAGAAGTAGATATAATGGAGCTGTGTTGTGCCATTTAATATATTTTAAGGACTTTCATGGTTGGGTAACAGGTTAGACCCTTTGGCATGTGATCTAAATCTTTTGAGACCACTGAAACTACTTTAATACTAACTGTGAAGAGAATTTTATACTAGTTGGGTATTATTTTGGATTCCTTTATAGATATCATACCCCTGTTGGGCATGCCCCCACTCAGTTCCCACACAGGCCCTTCCCAACAATACATTTAGATCATTTGCATAAGAAAAGGAGTAGCTAGCTTCTCCTTTTACTAAAAAAGCCAAACACAGCCAGTAAGACTATCCTCTGCTTATTTCAGAGAGTGAATTGAAAATGAAAATAAATGCTTAATTCCATTGCTGTGTTCTGAACCTTCATAAATTGGTGGTGGGAAAACAATACATAGTTACCCACTGTTTTTATTTAATACTAACTGAACTTAACAAATCTTGCAAGGACTCCCTTTCTTGCTTTGTATTTGGAATGTTCAAATGAACTAGGTATGTTGAATGATTCTAGATGAGGATGTTCTGAAAGTAACCTACTTCAGGAGAGAAATTCTTCCTTAATTTTGTGGAAACCTTGCCTGACAAGTGTTTTGTATGTGAACCTTTCTTTCTAATGATTGATTAAAACTTCTTTTACTTTCTTAGTTGCAGATTTATTTTAACTTAAACATTTGGTTAAACTCCATGAGCTTGCAGTTTTCTGAGCAACCAGTTTTGCCAGCTCACGGCTCCTTCCTGTAGATATACCCTCTGTGGATGTACCATGGCTTATAGGTTTAACCAAAACTTAACACTTATATCTATGTGTACTAGATCACTGCAGTAGACAAAGCATTAGAGTCTTTTTTAATAACTAGATGGCTTTTCCTTTTACCACCCTAATATGACTTTGTTGTTTAAGATTATGTAAATTGTATCTTTTCTCTAATAAAAGAGAAAAATAAATGTACTTTGCATTTCTTCTGGTTGGCCTTTTCTGGAGGCTTTTTAACCTAACCAGGCTAAAGTATCTTCCTTTTTCTTGACTATTTTTTTAAGATAGCCCTGCTTCCACTGATCATTTCTCTAGGAAGGTACATATTACTAGAATTAGTAGCCTTTTTGAAGTTTCAGTCCACATTTGGAAGACGCAGGATGGAACTGCCTACATATTAAAATTAGCCACTAGTAATGAATTTAATGTACCATAGAAATTTAGAACATTAATCCAAAAATGGTTTGTATTTGATGAAAACTATTGAGGACAGTTAAAACATATTAAAACAACTTTAGGCATCTATGAAGTTTTTTCATTCTCTTTTTAATCATGGCTATGTTTTAACTCTAGCAGGATTTAGAGATGAAATATCACATGGCTAATACCAGATAACTACTTTAATCTCTTAAATTTTCATCTCTTCCCAAATTATTCCCATGTAATCCCATAGTATGACAGCTGTGAGGTGTTTAATAAATAAAATTATCCCTAATCTGACAGGTCTAATGAAGCAGGTTGATGAGAGAGAAAATGAATTTGAGAATGCATCTGGGTTTTTTCTAGAGACCTAGATGCATGGAAGAGTAATGGTAGCTTTCAAGAAGGTAGGCAACTGGGTAATTGAAAAGGATCATTTTAATACCTAACACAGCATCTTACCGTGTATATTGTGTCTTTAAAATGAATGCAATTTTACATTCTTTGTAAAATTTAGGAATATTTTCAAGTTTCAATAACTTAGACTAAACATTTCATAAGCCATTTGTAATATATCAACATAAAACATGGTGTAATACATTATACAATCAATTATAATGTATTACTTTAGCTTCTATCAACTCCTCAACATTCCCCATCCACTATAAGGCAAATTGAGTTCCAGGCCAATGTACATCCTTGTTACAGTAAACTTATCTTTAAATGGCAATTATTATTTTTTTTGGTATTATTAATATACAGTTACATGAGCAACATTATGGTTACTAGATTCCCCCCATTATCAAGTCCCCACCACATACCCCATTACAGTCACTGTCCATCAGCATAGTAAGACGCTGTAGAGTCACTACTTGTCTTCTCTGTGCTATACTGCCTCTCCTGTGCCCACCTCCTACATTATGTGTGCTAATGGTAATGCCCCTTAGTCCTCTTCTCCCTCCCTTCCCACCCATCCATCCCAGTCCCTTTCCCTCTGGCAATTGTTAGTCCATTCTTGGGTTCTGTGAGTCTGCTGCTGTTTTGTTCCTTCAATTTTTTTCTTTGTTCTTATGCTCCAAAGATGAGGGAAGTCATTTGGTACTTGTCTTTCTCCACCTGGCTTATTTCACAGAGCATAACACCCTCTAGCTCCATCCATGTTGTTGTAAATGGTAGGATTTGTCTTCTGCTTATGGCTGAATAATACTCCTTTGTGTATATGTACCACATCTTCTGTATCCATTCATCTACTGATGGACACTAAGGTTGCTTCCCTTTCTTGACTATTCTAAGTAATGCTGCAATAAACAGGGGTGCATATATCTTTTTGAGACTGGGAAACTGCATTCTTAGGGTCAATTCCTAGGAGTGGAATTCCTGGGTCAAATGGTATTTCTATTTTTAGTCTTTTGAGGAACCTCCATACTGCTGTCCACAATGGTTGAACTAGTTTACATTCCCACCACCAGTGTAGGAGGATTCCCCTTTCTCCGCATCCTTGCCAACATTTGTTGTTCCTATTCTTTTCTCTGTTTCTATGTTTCCTAACTGGCAGGAGGTGATATCTCACTGTGGTTTTAATTTGCATTTCCCTGATAATTAGTGATGTGGAGCATCTTTTCATGTGCCTGTTGGCCATCTGAATTTCTTCTTTGGAGTATTGTCTGTTCATATCCTCCTCCCACTTTTTAATAGGGTTATTTGCTTTTTGGGTGTTGAGGCGTATTAGTTCTTTATGTATTTTGGGTATTAACCCCTTGTCAGATATGTCATTTACAAATACATTCTCCCATACTGTAGGATGCCTTTTTATTCTGCTAATGGTATCCTTTGCTGTACAGAAGCTTTTTAGCATGATGTAGTTCCATTTGTTCATTTTTCATTTTGTTTCCCTTGCCCGAGGAGATGTGTTCAGGAAAAAGTTGCTCATGTTTATATTCAAGAGATTTTTGCCTATGTTTTCTTCTAAGAGTTTTATGGTTTGATGACTTACATTCAGGTCTTTGATCCATTTTGAGTCAACTTTTGTGTATGGGGTTAAACAATAATCCAGTTTCATTCTCTTGCATATAGCTATCCAGTTTTGCCAACATTAGCTGTTGAAGAGGCTGTCATTTCCCCATTGTATATCCATGGCTCCTTTATCATATATTAATTGACCGTATATGCTTCGGTTTATATCTGGGCTTTCTAGTCTGTTCCATTGGTCTGTGAGTCTGCTCTTGTCCCAGTACCAAATTGTCTTGATTACTGTGGCTTTGTAGTAGAGCTTGAAGTCAGGGAGCATAATTCCCCCTGCTTTATTCTTCCTTCTCAGGATTGCTTTGGCTATTTGGAGTCTTCTGTGGTTCCATATGTGTTGCTCTTCAGCAACAAGAAGGCGGGGGGACAAGCAGGACCAGCCTGTTATCCCGGGGGCTGAGCGAGAGGGCAAGTGTCGGCGGCTTGGACACCCTCCCCTGAGACGCAGGGAAAAACAAAACCACACCAAGCCGGGAGATGTGTCAGCCTCAAGGGCACAGCAAAACTCAGCTTTATTCCATCAGAGGCTTAGTTATATAGGGGAAGATAAGGAAGTAACAGAAACCAATGGGAATTGATTATCTCATCTGTCACTAGGGTCTTTAGGCAGGTTTTGGGTTAGGTGGGGAGGCAGAGTTAGGGCCAAGAGTGCACGCGCGGGAAGCTAGTTAGACCACAAATGCGGAAGTAATGAGGGAGGATGGAAACCTCCAGTCTGCGGCTGTCACAGGCCTAAAAGAGGCAAAAGGTCCCAACAGTTCCTCCTTTTTGTTTTATAAATGCTCTGGGATGTCCCGGCAGGCAAGGCCCCTGTCTTAGGTTGTCCCCCTCTGGGGATCTTACCCATTACTGGGTACCTTGCAGCTCTTCAGTTGTCCCAAGCTTACTCATCCTCCGAGGCCTGTCTTAGGTTGTCTCCACCTTGGAGATCTTACCCATCATGGGCACACAGGGAGATAGTTAGGGGGAATTAATGGACACGGCCTCATCATAAGGTTCACAGTGATCATAGGGGTCACTGGCTTCCATGGCAACTCTCTGGTAATGTACCTGCACACACATCAACTGAATTGATTCAATTCTTTTTTGGACAAACTGGATAATCTTGTTAATAATGCAGGGCCCAAAAGTGAAAAGTAGGAGCAAAAGAAGGATAGGACCAAGGAGGGGCACAATATAGGGCAACCACCCATGTAACTCAGTCCAAAGAAAATTGGCTTGTAATTCTTTTC